GTCATGAAAAGCCGAACCTTAAAGAGGGACAGCTTGTTCTTATTAAACAAGAGAACACGCCTCCTGCCAGATGGCCTATGGGACGAATAACTAAAACTACTAAAGGACAAGATAGTAAAGTCCGAGTAGTCACAGTTAAAACCAATAATGGAGAAGTCCAAAGGTCGTTAAATAAAATTTGTCTGCTGCCAACTCAAGACAGCGACGAACAAAGTAACGAACAAAACAACGAGCCAGCCGATGGAAAAAGGCACCGATGCAGTAGGGCAGCAAAAATGACGCCAATTATTAGCCTTCTTATGATCCTGCAAGTTGCAAGTACCGCAACAATACCTACAACTAATACAAGTAGGTTAAGCATTCAACATATGGAAGAACGAAACGCAATAATTATGGACAAAATTAAGAAGGTGGAAGTCGTCTCGTCAAGTTGGCAACTGCTATTTTTCTACAATATGCAAGCTTACTTCGAATTTCTAAATCAAGCCGATGATTTCCTGGATAAAACAGCCTCCATTTGTGAAAAACTGGGAGAATTCACAGAATATTGTACATCAGTTAGTAGTACAATGAAAGCAAAAGTAGACAACATACAGGAAAGAAACAAAATTATAACACAATCATCGGAAAGGAAAAGAAGGTTTATCATGTTCTTCGACATCGGTACCACAGAAAGAATAAAGGACAACATGGAAACTATCATCAAAAACGAGAAGCAACGAGTACAACAAAACCTTAAGGAACTAGAATGCAAGAGGGTGCGCATCGAGGATCTGGTGTTTCACACGGTAAATGGACACATATCGTTAGGCTTGGTGATAATCATATTAGCTGGGATAATAATTTACGCGAAGACAAAGAGGAATCAGACACAGGAGCTACTAGCTGTCGTGTTTCCTGGCCCCCCGCAGAATGTTCAGGCACTAGCATGAACATGAGAACCTATCGTCACGGACCTGCAGCAGATAGACGCCGAGGCTATGTGACATGGTGACATGTGCGATTGCCACATGCGGCGATCCTCTGTTTGTTTAGGCGATCCTTTGTGCAGCAATAAAATTTAATGACGGCTGCACACAGGTCACGTAGGCTACGGAAAAATGGTCTTAGAAACGCGATAGTACTTATAAATAGAATTAAGACAACGCTGAGTCCTACAAACTCAGCGATAGCATAAGTAAATTTAAGATAACGCTGCGCCTTACAAACGCAGCATAGCATTAAGGGATGAAAAATAATTAAATAAAAGTATGCAGCTAGCAATAGCTGCATGTCAGAATATTCTACATCGTGTACGCACGCGTTTTAGTGTAAACACGCACCTTTGGCGAAGTCAAAGCTTTGTTGCTCTGACAAGGCAATATACGCCTAGCAAATGCCAATCGAATGGTCAGCTGAATTGACAAAGGTTATTCTGTTCGTTTTTGGCAGCAACGAACGAATGGTTTATTCTGCTAGCGTTTTTGACTTTTTGAGTCTGAGTGTTATTACTTGACTTACTGCCATTCGCTTGAGCTTTACTAGCTTCTTCAGCAACAATATGCTGGTAGCGTCTGTTGAAGGGAGCCTCACAATCTCGCCAGAGCTGCCTTTCCCACTTCTTTTTTGTGGTAGGATCAACTTTGCACATAACGAGATAAATTAAGATGGCATTAGCGATTTTCTTGTCGTCACCAATTGATAGAATTGATTCATAGGTGGCCGATACTGCGTCTATCAGCTCTAACGAAATCGAGCCTTCTTTTAATTGCCGTTGCATACGACATATACTCTTCATACAGTCCTCGCGCTTTTAAGTTATTCGATCTAGTCCTTACTCATAGTGATTTAAGGTTTTAAACTTTGATCGAACGAAAATTGGTGGTGACAAACGAGAAATCGAAAATATTATGCTGTTCTCAGCAAGTGTAGGGGAGCGCAACAGATGGTCGTCTAGCAGTGCAAATGAAAACGAGAATAACTGCAGCTGACTGACCGTCGAAGGCAATACTTTTGGTGCAGCAGCGAAAGTGGCGACAAACGAAAATAATAATTCTAATACAAATGCTTATGTGCGTTAGCAGAACAGCTAATTAGTATGCATGCAGCTCCTTAAGCGCGAACACGACAGCAATGTATTAGCTAAGTTATGTACATATGTTTGTGAGTATGTCGGTATATATGTGACAACGGCAACGACGAATTTGATGGGAAATAATGAGAGCAAGCAACAAACGAAAACTGCCGACGGTTGACTGAGATTGATTTGGCACTTGAAACAGTTGCCTATGGCGGTTCACTATTATTTAATATTAGTACGACATGCGATTTATATTTGTGTTAATTATGCTCAACTATATACCTTATTTATTTATATTTATTATATTATTAAATTATCCCTTTTTTAAAGTTGGTATTCTGATCAGTGGAGTTCACATGGGTATCCACAGGAGCAGCTACTATGCTCTCCAACCTGCCGCATACCGATAATATTCAATGTCGCACCATTTACACAACACACAATGGCGCTATCACTCAGGTAAGAACGGCGTCCGTATTGGCAATCGCTGCATCGGCCGCGTTCACCACTACAATGGCCACATTCGCATGGAAATCCACAGCTGCACACTCCACTCGGTTTTAATTTGGAGGAAACCAGCCTTCATCTGAAATACAGACCTCTTATCGCCGAGCTCCACGGAGTATTCCATAGCATGCCAAATATGCAATGCCGCCAATATTTCAAAAACGAAGATGCTCAATCCGCCGATGGAAAACTCCAGCGCCAACTGGTCCTCCTTTACGTAGCAGCATGAGTATTTGTTTAGTAGCTACGTGTCAAGTTCCAGGCCCCGTGTTTATGCTTCCGCACACCCAGCCCCCTGGAGTAAATTCGCCGCATTTTCCTAGGAGTCCACGCACTGCGGCGCTGCCGCCGGTTTCATTGTCTCAATCCGAAGAAGCGCCTTCGTACTAATTACCAAGTACTCCCCTAATTGCTTGGCTCATCGGACGATCCTGCAGGTGCCGAGACAAGTGTCGCCGGTGCCAAGGAGATCATCACACATCGACAAACACAAGCAGTCGCATTCGCCCCTCCTCGTCTCATCAGTCACGCTCACCCCTGCGAGATGCCTCTTCGCATTGGTCTGGCTACAGATATGTGGAAAAAGCGATCCGGGACGAGTTTGCGACCCTGGGCATGCACGGTTCCGATAGTGCTCGGGGCAGACGTATATCTAAGGATCATATGACATTCATGTAGCCCAGAGCACCGTTTTTGGCTGGACTCTTTTCGGTGTCTAACGCCAATGAACGCACTCGCGTCCCCTCACATCCTGGACGTGACGAATTGACTGAATTGTTTATGAACTGGTTCAATTCGATCCTGACGCATTTTGTACTGCGGACACCAAACGCATGAGCAGTATTCTAGAATAGGCAGTAGTAGTTTAGTGGTATATGGATCATCACATTCGTGATAAGTTACCTAATGGCCGCATTCATCAAAGACAACTGATCACTGATCAGTAAAATTACTGGCCTGGGTATGTAGAAAGTTTACATATAAACAAAATATGTTGGAATTAGTTAATTAGGCTTTTGTGTACATTTATTTGTGTTGCTCATATTTGTATAAAACTTAAACAAAGTGCCCGTATATTGTGGAGTGAGACCATACTTTCTGCAGCTTTCGGCGAAAAAATAATATAGTCAAATTAAAGTTGAATATTTATAGTAACTTATGTTTAGTTTGCTTTTTGCGACTTTTCGGGCACTTTTATTTTGTAGCTGAGGTTCAAAGTGCACAGAAATCCTTATTCGTAATCACTATAATACCGCTAATTTTGGAAATATTTTGTGGTTAAATCGTAGCGCTTCTTACACATGATCTCTATCGTTTGACAAATACAAAATCAAATCAATTTTGACCTATCTGTGGGATGAGGGCAAAAGAATTTATGCAAAATGGCCATATTTACAGATTAGCAAAAGTTTTGCAATGTTGGTTTTTTTCAATTTGTTGTACTATTTATTAGTTAAAGCACAAATAATCATAAATACATTTATTTAGTGTAATACTAATACACGAACACACGTGAATGCTCATAAGTCGAAAAACAAATGACATCTGTGTCTTATATGGGCGGCAGGAGTGGGCGTGGTCCAATCAAGAACCAGTACTAAATTTCAAGTCTCTAACTTCATGTTTCGAATTTATGCCAAAAAATCGTCTGGCCTATGTGCAGCGGTCAAGTTGACATTCAATTCTTTAAATTAGTACATTTTACTTGCAGTTGCCAATGCACAAACCAATCATATGATTAAAAGTGATCACAAATGTAACATTCTATTTTTATAAGTTTTTAGTATTAATGATCACTAATTGGGATAATCATGAGAATCACTGATCAGTCCATTCAGAAGGGGGATCAAAGTGCCCTTACAAAACAAAAAATTATTCTATTCAGACCCCATGTAACAATTATAATTCATTTATTAACAAATCAAAGAGCTCTGATAATTATATGCACTGTGTTTAATTATTGTTACTTTTGTTATTTGGCAGCACTTTTCCTGGCTAGTGAAAAATTTAACTGATGCATTTCGAACACGGTCAAGCCGCCTCATGGCAGATTCGTTTTACATTTCAATGAGTTAATGTTAAATTTATTTTGGCAACAACTATGCCTATGGAATGTCATATAACAATGTACCAATATATACTACAATTTTCGCTTAGTAGAAAGTAGTGCTGACGTTAAAACTTTTAATCGAAAATGTTTATTAAATAATCGATAGCTGAACAGCGCTTACGCGTATAAGGTTCAGTATACAATGACGTGAGTTCAGTTTTGTCGCGGTGTGCATATTCATTAAAAATTGTAAGGATAACGATTAATCGCAAAAAAAATTATTTTGCTTAATATTGTGTATCACAGTACTATCGAAATGGAATCCGATAGTTCGATTAAATAAGTGGATTTGTATTTATAGTATATTTTTTTATAGTGGTTTGAGGTCTTTTGAAATTGTTTACTTTAAGTGATACGTTCAACAAACAATAAAGTCATTCTTTAATTAAAATCATCAATCGTTTTTGAATTAAGTGATAATTATTGCGTACCAAGTGTAGTTAAGGGTAGGCGTCTTAGTGATTAACTATATACATACATATTTACATACTTAAATATTTTTTGTTATTTATGTATTTTCAAACATTTCCATTTGCTGTTGAAGTCGTCTCTAACAAATTATTTCAGGTGAAAAACACGACCCTTTTTAAAGAAACGATAATATTAAAAAAGTGTTATCAAAAGGATGCTGCCTTAAAACCCCGCCCAAAGTATAATTGTTACCGTAGTTAAAACAAATACGTTTTATTTTTTGTAAAAATTTTGGTAATTACATACATACATATTTATTTAAGGGAAAACGTTTGTGTGTAATTATTTATGACCGGCTATATATGTATGTATGTATGTATGTAAGTTAAACCCACCCTTCCCTAAACAGTGCTTTATGTACTTAAAGGCATAGGTGTACATACATATTTATCCATACATATGTACATAAATACCAGAGAATTGCAACGAGTACTACATTTTCGGTCATACTCGAGTACTTACCCATACTCGGTATGATTATTTCATTTGAGTATAGTGACAAGCAATGACTGGTTGCAAAGGAGCCCTCAACGAACACTCAATTCGACTCACAACTGCAAAAACTCAGAACGAACGGCGGTGACCGAAACTTTTTGCTTGCGTGCAAGAAATGATCGAACGTCGTATTTACAATAATGCCCGCATGACCGAAATGATATCGGCGGGTGCACGTGCCCTTGCATTTTCTATTGTTTTTTTTCACACCGAGTATAGCTCGCGCAATACCCAAAACAATACTCGACCAATAACGGCACTATACTCGTTCGATCAAACGCTCATTCTGCAAAGTCTGGTTTGCTTCGATCAAAACCCAGTCATCTTAAACGAAGTGACCGAGCCTGAAGTGTTTGAAAGCAAACCAATCAAGGCTGGTACCCGTTCGCAACGAACAGAATACTCGAAGTGACCGAACCTAAATTGTTTGAAAGCAAACCAATTAAGACCGATGCTTGTTCGTAAAAATAGAAAGATTGGTCATGCAAGTTCGATCATAAGAAAAATGCTGAGAGCACTCAACTAGTTCGAGCTCGTGTGCAGCCAAGCAAAGATCTCATTTGATTGAATCTTTAGCAAGGGTGGTCGAACATACTTGTTGCAGTTCTCTGATAAATACACATGTTCATACATAGTACATACATATGTATGTACTATCAGGTATTGCCCGTCTTAACCCGGCTCAATATAATGTTTCCAATTGTATTTATTTTGTGTGTGCATAACCTACCCATATGTGCAATAATTATAAGGGTATATCCTAATTTTAAATTCACATTTGAGTCTTTTGGTGCCATATTGAGTCAATACGGTCATGCACAAACTCGGAATATGAAACACGGCACTCGTGTCAATGCCGTGCAGCGATGAGCCACGATCGAAAAGCACTGACAATTCTCATCTCAATTTGCTAGAGTAAAACTTTCGGTAGTTGGAGCCACCGATACCATCAAAATATCGAAGTTTGAATGCAATAAGCAGAATATTTAAATAATAAAATCTAATTATTCATTGAGATCAATAAGAACAAATCATATACATACATACATCTGCCCGCAATGCGAAGCAGAATATGCCTAGCGACGGTAACTGTAAATTTTTGGCGTTTTGCCTTTGCAATTAACATTAAATGGTCAAAACGAAAGAAAAAGAGCGAGCCAATGACTTGCAGTTGTTGTTGTTTTTAGAGCATTATTTTTTTTACAATCAAACAACTGTGTTCGATTGCCCAATGTATACATTAATACGAATGTACATACATGCTACATTCATACACAGGCATACATACATACATACATATGTGTGTTTCTCTATTCCAACTATTTGATATTTGTTGTTGCTGCATAAAGTTATTAATAAAAACCCTAATGCCAAATGCACTAAACAAAGAAAAAATTACTTTTAAAAATGTTATATAATTTTCAATTAATTAACATTTCTTGCTCTGTCAGTGCAAGACGAATGTACATACATACATACATATGTAGATACATATGTACATACATAGATGTGCACATATGTATGGACATTCACACATTAGTGTCTCACATTTTGCTTTGGCTATTTCAATCGTTTGCACGCAACTACACGAACAGCTGTTTGTATGTGTGTGTGTATGTATACTTAGTTGTCCCCAACTGTTTGATATTTTGTATTGTTTGTTCTGCCTGCTTTTGTAAAATGCATATTTTGAAAATCCTTGAATGCAAAGTTGTAGATTTAGTTACGTAGATTACATTACCCAAATTTTAAATCGATCGGACTAAATTTATAACATAAACTTTTCATTTGAAATAGTGAATAAATATTAAAACCCCAATAATTCAAGTTCCAACACAAATTTGGAATCTAAGTATGCAGTTTTGTTTGTATTCTTTAATTGATTTTAGAAACTAAGTTTTAAGTCGATCGTTTGAAAAATGCGGATTTTCCAAACAAACTTTGCAGCTACTTTCCCCCCTTTGGAGCTCGAATTTTCCAAAATCCCTTCTTAGTGCGCATCTACACCATGATAGGATACTTGAACTGTAGATTTTTCATACAAACGTTGGAGCCTGTTTTCCCACCTTTGGAGCTCGAGTTTTCCAAAATTCCTTCTTAGTGGGCACCTAGACTATGAAAGGATACTTGAGTCCAAATTTCAGCTTCCCAGCCTTTACCGTTTGGGCTGTGCGTTGATCACCAATCAGTCAGTCAGTCAGGACAAACTGTTTTATATATATAGATGTATGTAGATATATGCAAACTATAAAACCATCTGCATTTAATTTAGTAATTTGTGTACACATATCTATGTATGTATGTACAGAAGTAGTCAAAAGTATTTACATACATTTTATTTCCGTCAAGAGAACTTACACAATTACAAATTTGCATTTTTTCTTGGATTCGCTTTGTGTAATTGTTATCGTTAAGCAACTAAGGAATTACCCATTGAAGTTCGATCTGAGATTGTAACCAAATTTAAAAGTGGTATATCGCCATCAGACTTACTAATGTCCTAAACGATGTTATTTAAAACGGTGCATCATTTAGTTAAAAAAAGGACGTGCTCGGAAATTTGGAAAATTTAAAGATAGCGCGAAATGCTTTCTTTAACCAAAGGGAATTCAGTATATTATTCAAAACATTCATAAAAAATCCTACAGTACTAGGTAGGGTGAAAAGTAACCTCCTTGACCACCACAATGCGCTACTATCACAAAAATGATTATGGCGCCTCCATTCTATTCAGGTAGGCATGTTGAAATTCAGCGCGATACAGCCCTTAGTTTTGTTTTTATAGCTAATAGTTGTTGTCGTGTTGCGAACCTGTTCAGCATGGAAAAAAATGAATTTCATTCTCTCACAAAACATTATTTTTGAGACGCAAAACAGCGAAGGAAACTAAACAAAAGTTGGATAAATATTATGGGGCTCATGGTCCTTTAGATTACACCGTGAAATATTGGGTTCGAGAGTTTCGTGGTGGCCAAAACTCCACTACCGATAAAGTGCCTAGCGGCAGGACTTCTGATGCGGTTACAAAGGAAAAGGAAACGGCGTCAACAGCCCACAGCCCAAACGGTAAAAGCTAGGAAGCTGAAATTTGGGCTCAAGTATCCTATCATAGTGTGGGTGCGCACTAAGAAGGGATTTTCAAGCTCGAAAGGGGGGAAAACGAGCTAAAAAGTTTGTTTGAAAAATCTTCAGTTTTCCACAAATCAACTTTAAATTTGATTTTTATAATCTATAAAAGAATACAAACAAAACTGCATACTCGGATTTTCGTTTTTTTTTTTTTTGTGGTGGAGCTGAGCAGAGCTAGAAATGTTAATTAATTAAAAATTATTTAACATTTTTAAAAGTAATTTTTTCTTTTTTCATTAGTAACTTTATGCAGCAACAACAAATTACAAAGAACGCAAATATCAAATAGTTGGGGACATCGTATACACACACTCGCACACAGAACAAGTTCGTGTCTATGTATGAAAAAGTAAAGAGAAACATGCATGCATACGTATACACATATGTATGTATGTATGCCTGTGTACGTACATATATAGCATGTATGTATGTACATTCGTATGTATGTATGTATACATTGGACAATCGATATAATGTTCTATGGTTTTAAGTCAAATTTTTAAAACGAACAAGATAGAACGCTACAGTCGAGCAATCCCGACAGTAAAATAGCTTGTACTCTCCACAAAAAAAAAAATTAAAAAAAATGAATGAATGAATTAATTAATTAAATTAAATTAGAATACATGTTTATGTTCAGTTTTATCAGCATACATTTACATCACGTACCTATGCGTGTATGTATGCAGCACAAAGTTGAACCAAAGCAGCAACAACAACAACAGCTGCGGGCAGCGCTGCCGACAGAGCTGCCGGCAGCGCATGAGCAGCGATTTTACTTATGGCTATAACTTTCTTCAGAATTGACCTATCATGATGAAATTTGGCACACGGACACATTAGTACTAACTGGATGTACCTTCCAAAATTGATTTCAAAATTCCGAGAATTACGGAAGTTATAAGAAAAAACTCGAATTGCGGGGGAGTGGGGGGGTGCATCGAAAAAAACTCAAACTCGTACTTTCTCGGTCTTAGGAGAATATGGAAACCAAGTTTGGTTATTCTAGCTCTTATACTTTCTGAGATCCTTGCGTTCATACGGACAGACAGACGGACGGACGAACAAGGCTATATCGACTCGGCTTCTCATCCTGATCAAGAATATATATACTTTGTGGGGTCTGCCACGCCTCCTTCTGTGTGTTACATACATGCGCACAAAACTAGTATAGCCTTTCACCCTTTGGGTACAGGCTATAAAAACAACAACAACTGCAAGTCATTGGCTCGCGCTTCTTCTTTCGTTTTGATCATTTAAGCCTGTTAATTTCAAAGGCAAAATGCCAAAAGTTTACAGTTACCGTCGCTAGGCAACAACTGCGTAAGCGATAGTAAAGCAGAAACCGAAA